ATAGTAAAACACAACAACTTAAACAAAAAGTGTGGGACAAGTCTGTATTTAAATTCTAAGTAGAACTGACAGACCATCAGAATTCTGTGGAGTTTTGAAAAGCCTGCTGTGCAAAAAAAGGGAAATGCTCCCCAGATGGTGCTAACTCTAATTGCAGCCACACACCTCACAGCAGCTGTTAACCAGCCATTGTGATTATTTTGGTGAGCAAGTAATTTATAACCTATTAATTTACTTTTTATATGTAGATAGTTTATTGAATTTTACTTACATTTTAGGAAAGTGGATGGGAGTTTGGGTTGAATAATAGCATAAATTTTTTTCCCTTTAAAATGATGAAAGAGAACTGCAGAATTCTTGATTTTTAGGAATGACTTACTGATATTAAGCAGGACAAGTTTATAATTTGAAATGCCTTGGTTATTTCAAAATGCATCTCATTTTATCATTTTGATTGTCATCCTCTGCCTTTTCTTCCTGCTTCTTTCAAACTTATTTAAAATGGGTTTCTAATATTTAAGCCTATGGACTTAGACCAGTGGGCAGGAACTAGGCTATTGTATGGGGAGATGAAATGACAGAACCCTTTAAGGGATCTATAAGAGGGTGATATTCTTCAAGTGGAAAGTGTATTTCCTCTTGAGTTTGACAAATAACACTTAGCCCTTAATATATGCCAACACTGCCCTAAATTAAATGATATATTTACTCCCTTATTAAATGCTTCCTCTGCCTGAGTTGCCCTATCACTTTGCCAACAACCTGGGAAGGCAGGTTTTATTATCATACCCATTTTGAAGACATAACTGAGTACCATAGTTATTGCTGGTAAGAGGTAGAGCTGAAATTTGAACTTGGTTTTTCCACTTCTATTTCTGTGCACCAAGTTAAGTAAGATTGGAGGAAGGGTTGGAGAGTTTGTGGTGAAAAATCTGTATTTGTTTCTATTATTATATAACTACCACAAATCTAAGTGGCTTAAAACAGCACACATTTATTATCTTGCAGCTTTTATGGATCAGGAGGTGAGATATGTCTTAGTTGGGTGCCTCTGCTCAGGGCCTCACATGGCTGCAATCAAATGCCAGCCAGCCTATTTTCATCTGGAGGCTTAACTGGGGAAAACCCATTCTTAAGCACATTCAGGTAGCTGACAAAATTTGCTTCCTTATGGTTTGATTAAGGACTCTAGATTTTTTTGCATTTTTAAAAAAATATATTTTATTAATTAAAAAAAAATTTTTTTTCAGAGAGGGAGGGAGATGGATAGAAAGTTAGAAACATCGATGAGAGAGAAACATTTATTAGCTGCCTCCTGCAAACCTCCTACTGGGACCTTTCAGTCTGTAGGCCAATGCTCTATCTACTGAGCCAAACTGGTTAGGGCAAGGACTCTAGGTTTTGCTGGTTGGAGATTTGAGGCCGCTACTAGGTACTAGAGGGTGCCCTCAGTACCTTGCTGCCTCACATGGTTGCTTACTTACTTCATCAGACCAACAAGGAAAATCTTTCACCAACTTGGGTAAGATTGGAGGAAGAGTTGGAGAGTTTGTGGTAAAAATCTAAATATGTGTGGCTTAGCCACTAATTTGGGGTTGCCATTTTCTGGAAGCTGCATTTTTTATTTTATTTATTTTTTATTTTTTTAATATATTTTATTGATTTTTTACAGAAAGGAAGAGAGAGGGATAGATAGTTAGAAACATCAATGAGAGCGAAACATCTATCAGCTGCCCTCCACTGGGGATGTGCCCGCAACCAAGGTACATGCCCTTAACCAGAATCGAACCCAGGACCCTTCAGTCCATAGGCCAATGCTCTATCCACTGAGCCAAACCAGTTTTGTCTGGAAGCTGCATTTTTTAAAGATTAAGAGTGAGAACTCAAAGTTCTAATGTATAGTACCTTAAAGATTTGCAATGTCTTCCTGGACTTGGTTGAAACCATTACTCTTCTTCCCATGAGTTTGTTAGACCTTCCTATGAGGTTCTTGCCTGTTTTCCCAAAGGGAATGTGGTAGTGAGGCAAAGGAAGGAGTCAAAATGACTCCCAAATTTCTAACTTTAGAAACTGAGTGGGTGGTTATATCATTTGTAAAAGACAACCAAGCTGGGGTGGTTGGAGGAATGGAGGAGAGTTAAAAATGAAAGATGCAACCTTATTGCACCTTCCATCCATTTAGAATATTAACCCAGATAATTCTATCTAATAAAGAGGGAATATGCTAATTCACCCTCATGCCATCACAAAGATGGAAGCACCCACAGCCAATAAGGAGGAAATATGCTAATTGACTGCCACTTCCTCAAATATGGCGGTGCCCATTGCCACAAGATAGCAACGCCCAATCCCCTCAGCCCTGCGAGGGCAGCAGGCCTCAACAAGGCCTCGTCACGCGCCTGCCTCCAGAGTCCCCCAGTCCCCTCAGCCCTGGGCTGCCCAGATGTCCTCTGGAGTCCCCCAGTCTCCTCAGATAGCGGCTGCCCAGCCGCCCATGGCTGCCCATAATCAGGGCCGGCCAAAGCTTGTGCTGCTGGCAGTGGCAGAGGTGTGATGGGAGTGTCACCTTCCCCTAATCATCGGGTCGTCTCCCATTTGTGATTGTGAAAGGGGGAAGGCCAAGCTGAAGGACCTCCCCTCCAAAGCTGAAGGACCTCCCCTCCAATGCAAGAATTTTCATGAACTGGGCCTCTAGTTCTGGATATAATTCTCCATTTAGTCTGAAGAAATTTTCTATTAATAGAAAAAAAAACCAACAAAAACAAACAAATAAGAAATAGATCCTGGATAAAATAAAATTGCATTGCATAGCTTGACTTATGGGATAAAGAGGAATCTCAAAGGTTCTGCACCCATTTAAAATATTCACACACATACACACACACACACACACACACACACACACACACACAAACACTCAAATAGGAGCTGTAAGTACTATGGAGAAAAATTAGCAAGTGAAGGGGAAGAGGGCTAAAATATTATGTTGTTTGGTGGGAGAAAGTTACTTTGAGGTTGAGAGATTTAACAACCTGAAAGAAGTGAGAAAACAAGCAATGAAAATACTTGCAGGAAAAGCATTCCGATAGAGAGGCTCGCAAGTGTAAAGTCTCTGGAAAAATAATATGGCAAGGCCAATGTGATAAGAGTAGAGAGAACAAGTGGGAGAGAAGTCAGAGAGTAGATTAGAGAGGAAAGAGAGTTTAGACTTATAAGGAATTTAAGGACTCTGACTTTTATTCAGAATGAAATGGAATGGGCTTGAGCAAAGAAATAACATGATATGATTTTAGATTTTTAAAATTCCCCCTGTCTGCTATGTGGAAAAAAGGCTGAGTGGTGTGGGTGACCAGTTGGTTTCTCATTGCAATAAAGCCAATGGGAAATGATAAACCAGGGTACTCATGAGATGGTGAGAAGTAATCAGACTTGATATATTTTGAAGTTAGATCTAGCAGGTTTTTGAGGTTAGGTCTAGCTGGTAGCTTCAATATGGTGTGTGAGACAAATAGGAGAGTCAAGAATGACTCCAGGCTTTGGGGAGATGATCTTTTAAAGGAATTTGTCTATGGAGAAGTGAGGGATGACTCAATAACTAGACAAGCACAAGAGGTCAAAACTAACTGTTTAAAAATGTTTTTATTCCATTGCAATACAGAAACAAGAGAACACATCATATATGCACAGCACCAGCATCCAGATAAAGGAAAAAATAACATTTGTAGGAACCATAGGCCTCTGGTTTTCCTTCCAATTAAACCCCTCAAAGGTGACCATGCTCCTGATTCTAACACTCTAGTTTAGTTTTATTTATGTTCAAACTTTATTTTATAAAAATGGAATTATATAGTATATATTCTCATATGTAGCTTTTGTTCCCCTGAACATTATTTTGTGGATTTATCAATGTGGCTGTATGAATTGTGCTTTGTTCACTCACAGTACTATCTACTACACCATTGCCTAAATATACCACAGTTTTCATTTGTTTCTTCTACTGTTTAGTTGGATGTTTGCCTTTGGGGGCTATTATCTGTATGACCATTTTTGTACATGCCATTTGGAAAATATACATGTGCACATCTGCTGCATATTCCCCTTTGGGACAGGAACCAAGACCTAGACCCAGGAGCAATATTAGAAATCTCTATATTGAAGCCATGTTGTTTACTTCAATACAGTATTGAAGTTTATATTATTTCTATATGTCAAATTTATTATTCAGTCCAGAACTTAGATGGGAAAAAGCATTAGATTGTGATAAATTATAATCTTTGAATCCAGATATTTAAGAATAAAGTCATTGAGACAGAACATTGAGCTATGTTTAATGGAGAGGAATGTAATCCATTCAATTGAGAGAAATAGAGCCATATATTTTTAAGTATTTTTAATTAAAATGTTCTTGCAATCCTAATATCTATTATTTAACCAATATGCATGTGAAAATAATACAGAAACAGAGCCTGCGGACACGTGACTTAACCAATTCACACTAGCACAAAACAGCAAATTTTCTCTTGCTATTTATGGATAGACAATCAATTTCTGTTTAGTTTACCAGAACAAGTTTATATAGCCCTCGCTGGTTTGGCTCAGTGGATATAGCATCAGTTCGCAGACTGCAGAGCCCCCAGTCGAGAGCACATGCCTGGGTTGCAGGCTTGATCCCCAGTAGGGGACATGCAGGAGGCAGCCAATCAATTATTTTCTTCCATCATTGATGTTTCTACCTCTCTCTCCATCTCCCTTCCTCTCTGAAATCAATAAAGATATATTTTAAGTTTATACATTTTATGGCCATTTTGGAAGACAGGCTAATAAAATTTTACTGACCTGAGCTCTGGAGAAATTATTTATAAGAGCAATAAAATTACTCATATGGACAAAATACAAAACAAAGGCTATTTTTTAAAAAGAAGTTTCTTCCAGCGTCTAAAATAGCTGAAATTTCAGTGAAGTCTTTGCCATAAGCACTGGGTTTCTCCTTCCTTTTTTCTCTACAGCCAACAGTTACTCATAGCCGTACCCTTGAAGAAGTCTTTGACATATTTAATATGATCTTGTGACTGAGGCAAGGAAAATGAACTCTAGGAAAGATCAAAATTGTTAATAGTTTTAAAACTTTGATTTTGGAGATTTTTCAAATACATATTTATAATGCACTCCCCACAAATGTTGCAGAGTACTAGCTCTTCCAACTTTCCTATAATATATAATGTATCAATATTAGTTCAAACAAATGCCATTCTTCAATCTGCTAATTATGTTGTCATTTTCTGATAGTATCATAATTGAATCATAATTTGTTCAATCCTCTCAAATATTTCTCTCTTGTTTCTACTACAGCTCTCAAAAATTTGGGTCCCATTTAAATTTAAAATTATGATGTCAAGACCTAAAAAAGAAGTAAGGAAGAACACAGGAAAGCATAAGTGGAACAGAGATGTCCTAGTAAATCTCATCACATTCACAAGGGAACTGGGTGAGGGAGGCAGGTGGCTGACCATGACAAGAGTGAGGAGATGCAAGTTCTCAATCTCAGCTCATTAGTCCGTATCATTCATTCTCTGTGTGACTTATCCAAGTCTTGGTTCTTTAATAAGGAACTGGGTGAGGTGATTCTAGCTTCATCGTAAGTAATTCTCTAACTGGTTTGCTATGCAATAGGCACCAGCTGATCTTTGATGACCAGCGTGTCATCATGAAGAGCCCTTTTAATTGAACTCTTTTCTCACTATAAAAGTCATCTTCCACATATACCCAGTGACCTAATCATCATAACTCAAATCTTGGGACCCAGCAGGCATCATGTGACATGTCAGAGTACTCACCCCAGGGTTGCTGGAGTAGACCTGTTTCCACCAAAAGACAGAAGCATATGCAGCTAATAAGAGCTCCAGCACAGAAAAGATAAGCATCACCACCAGGACACCCTACAAATCAGAAATAAGAGTAATCCTTCATTTACCTGTAGTGGCTTTTATTATTTCCTTTGTTGAGTTTTATTATCATGGTGTTTTCAGGTGTAAATCTGTTTTCATTTATGCAGCATCAGTCTCAGTGCATTCCTTCCACCTGACAAATTTTCTGTGATGTCTCTTGGCACATTTTTCTCTCCCATGCTGTGCCACTGGAGCTCAGATTAGATGTGTGTTGAACTTTTCACTTCACTGTATCCTCCATGTTTTTTAATTTCTCATTCATATTTTCCAAGTTTTTATCTTACTGTGTTGTGTTTCATGTGCTGTAATCAGACCTACATTTTGTTTTGCTCTTTATTCTTTGGAGAGGTTGACTCTGCTACTTAACTGATATGCTAAACTTTTAACACCAAATATTATCATTTTCATTTCTAATCTATTATCATATAATTTCTAATTCTTGAGCAATTATATAATTTCAGTGTGTGAGTGTTATTGGGGGGTGGGGATTCTTAGGAATGTAGAAAACTCATAAGTTGGTTTTGTGGACATTTCCCTAGGTCAAGCATGTCAAACTCAAAGGCTAACATGGGCCAAATAAATGAAGCATGCACCCTACAGGCCACGAATTTGACATGGTTGCTCTAGATAATAATTTTAGGTTGTTGTTCCTTTTTTTTGTTTTTGTTTTTTTAATATATTTTATTGATTTTTTTAACAGACAGGAACAGAGAGGGTTAGAGAGTTAGAAACATCAACAAGAGAAAACATTGATCAGCTGACTCTTGCACATCCCCTACTAGGGATGTGCCCACAACAAAGGTATATAACTTGACCAAAATCGAACCTGCAGGCCAATGCTCCATCCACTGAGTCAAACTGGTTAGGACTAATTTTAGGTTTGATTCTGATAGAATCTTAGGCGTTTCACAGATCCAAGAAGTTTTTAAGTTAATTCATTTATTTGAGGCTCTTTTCTTTTATATATATGGCCCGGTGCGTGAAATTGGTGCACTGGTGGGGGGAGGGGGGGATCCCTCAGCCCAGCCTGCATCCTCTCCGATCTGAGACCCCTTGGGAGATGTACGACTGCCCCTGTGGTATTGGGCCTAAACCGGCAGTTGGATATCCCTCTCACAATCTGGGACTGCTGGCTCCCAATCCTCACCTGCCTGCCTGACTGCCTGCCTGATCACCTCCTATCCACTCCCCTGCCAGCCTGATCTATGCCTAACTGCTTCCTTGTCAGCCCAATTTTCCCCAACTGCCCTCCCCTGCCAACCTGGTCACCCCTAACAACTCTTTTATGCATGCCTGATCCCCCAAACTGCCCTTCCCTGATGGCCTGGTTGTCCCCAACCGCCCTCCCCTGCAGGCCTAGTTGCCCCCAACTGTCCTCCCCTGCCAGCCTGGTCACCCCTAACTACTCTCTTCTGCAGGACTAGTACCCCTCCTCCCTAACTTCCCTCTTCTCCTGGCCTGTTGCCCACAACTATCCTCCCCTGCCAGCCATCTTTGACCACATGGGGGTGGCCATCTTATGCGAGGGCATGAAGGTCAATTTGTATATAACCTCTACATTATATAGGATTTTTTCTTTGGATGCCATATGTGCAAAAGACTTGGTAAGGTGATTTCATCCCAGAAACCCTTATGGCAAATTTTCTTGAAGCTACTTGGTATGTTGTTTTTCCTTGTCTTATTTTCATAAATATTCCATCTCAACAGCTAACATTCTTGCAGGGCAAGAATGTTAGCTGTTGAGATGGAATGTGCATTCCCTGCTTTCTGTGGAGCCTCAAATCCTATCTTGGGCATTAAAACTCCACAATTCCAGCCTCTAACACCTGTGTTCCTATTGAGGCCTCCATGGTTTTCTGGTCTCAGCTTTTGTTTGATGACCTGGCTTTAGGAATTTTCTTAGCTTCTGGGACCTATGGTATTTTTCTTCCTTGATTTCTTCCTTCCTTTCATCCTTCTTTTCTTCCTTCTTCCAACCAGGGGTATGTATCACTAATATTTTTTAATTTGTTGCTCTTGCCTTTGTGTTAATCTTTGTGTTAATAAAGAAAGAACTTTTAAATCTGCTTAGTCAGCAAAGGTGCAACTCCTCTGATATTGCAGGTAGTTCTCTTTGACTCCTGTTATGTAAGAATGGGAGGCAGTTTGATGTGTTGAGATTAGTTTTCATTAAATTCAGCCCCCACTATCCCAATGGGGAGGATGAATCTCATACCCCCATTGTTTTTGCCTAATGTCTGCCCTGCACCACAGTTATACTATCTCTTGGGCTATTCATGCTGGTTTCTAACCAGATGGGTTTCTGTGCTCTTCTGCTTCCTCAAGCTCCTGGATCAAGGGGAGTTTGGACAGCTTCTGGGTCACATGGATAGCTGCACATAAGGGTGTGAGTCCAGAAAGTTGGTGGGCATTCTCCGTGATTCATGAGACAGGTAGATCCCAGATAATGAGAGACAGTGTCTTTGTCTCTACAGTTCCTATAGAGATGAATCACAAAGGAAGAAATATTTTTCCATAAAGGGCCAGAGTTGATGGTTTTAACCTCTGATCCAATATACAGAGGATTGACTAATCCAGAATTGTCACCATCAACAGGTGATGACTATCAAGTTTGGGGGAAAGGAGGTAAGAAAATGCTGCCCAGAGATGTTGGCATTTCTGCTAGAAGTCAAATCCACTGGTGAGCCATCTCCCATCCTCCTCTCACTCTCTGCCAGACCTATGAGGCCAAAGTATAATAATTATATGTTTGGGCTTCAGGTTCAAAATCTATAACTTAATACAGGCTACCTATATCTCAAATCAAATGAAATTCAAATAAAGAATGGTGTTTCTGGGATATTCAGTGAGGGGGAGAAATGCCTGTTCAAAAAAGAGAACGCTTTGAGAGTTAAACCTACTGAGAATGGGATTTTCTTTTTTAATTTAAGAAAGACTTCTATAGGAATGGACTACCCACATCCCTTCTTGATTCCTTTTTTGACTTTGCACAATGCATATTATGCAGTCTGCTGACAGGCCTCTTTCAACCGTATTTTCTTCTGTCTGTCTTCAGACAGTCAGACAAACAGGGCTAGGGATTGCTGAAAAAGCAAGATTATGCAGAAGGGAGACAGAGATTTCACATGACAGGAGACTCAATCTGAAAGTACTTACTGTGAGACTGACACCATCCAGGACACAGTTCTTGACATCATATATTGGATTATGGTACCTTGAATAAGGCAAGGAGGATAGATGCTCCTTTTCTGAGTTACACAGTTGAGAGGCAGTCCTCAGGGCTACCAGGCTGTCAATGAGGAGGAAGAGGCCTGCTCCAGCAACAACAGAACTCACTGCATTAGAGGTTAGGCTGCAGATGGCCTGGAAGAAAAATTCTGCACTGGGATCTCATCACAGAAATGGAACATGACTCTGATTCCTTCTATCCACTGCACTGCAACCAAGCTTCCTTATAATCTGCATAGTCCTAGTGGGTACATACTGTGTCTCTTCATCTCTGTGTATCCCTTCTCACTGTCTAGTCCATCACCTTATATAATTAGTAAATGTTTGTTGAATTGGGAAAAAAAATCTGTGGATTAATTCCTGCTTTGGGAGAAGGGTTCCTTGACTCTCTGCAGCACTAAAAACAGAAGTCATATCACCAATATCTCCCTTTACTCCTCAACAGAATAATTTTAAAAGTTTCTAGAATATTGCCTTTGGTCCCTCCTGGGAAGACCAATCTGTGGCTTGTTCTTTCATAAAGAAGCAGCTTCAGAGAAGAAGAAAGAAGCAAATTGGAAAAGTTGGAATACATTCTAAAGGTGGATCAGGCCTATAAGAGCCTCTTCACCATACTCACTCCTGGGTCATAGTCTACATTTTGGGGAAAGGGGTTCTCACAAGATGTGACTCCTCTGCAAAGACACTGATGTATCAGATTCCCAGCGCATGCTCTTTTCTGTTTAAGCATCACTGTAGGATACTGTGTATTGGGGAAGATGGTTGCCCTATCTTCTTCTGCCTTGATCCAGTAGCTATATGGCTTCAAGTTTCTAAGTCCCTGAAGGAAGAACAGAGTGAATGGGCAGCACCTTGGCCAGGAGCTGCCATGCGAGCAGCGAGCCCTCATATTATCCTGTATCCCACATGTGGAGACCATATTGTGTCAGGTCATCTCAAACATAATTTTCCCTTTCAGTGTATTCAGGGCACTTGGGAAGCCACCTTTGAGGTCCACATGTTCATCTTTCACATTTTGTAAATAAGAAAACTGAAGTCCAAAGAAGGCAGGAACTTTTTCAAGCACACAGATGGATAGGGGGATGAGCTGGGATGGGAATAAAGGTTTCCTGATACCAAGTCCAGAGTTCTAACTCCATCCATGCTGTAAACTCTTCAATACCCTCTTCACTGATTCTGGGGGTCAGACTCTAGTTTCAAGCTTCAGGAGCATATACCAGTATAGTACATCTTATGATTTCTCATCCATGGCTAACCAGACCTTGGATCTACCTGAGTCAGGATATGGCTTTTTCCTAAGTCATCTTTGTGGGCAGATGACAGGGGGAAGGGAAAGGTTGATATGGAGAAGATTAAAGATCTCAGCTACTTCCACCCCCTGCCTCCCAATTCCTGACTTTTGTCAGGAGAGTGACTACAGTCTGATAATTCCTTGTTCTTGAAGGAGTAAATGAGATAGCCAGAGAATATCTAAGTCCACACACCTCTGCCTCTGCCCATGCCATTTAGGAGAATTGACACATTATTGGATAGATTTTTTTTTTTTTTTTAGGAAAAAAAATAGGTCATCATCATCTCCAGGGGCAAGGTAAGTTTTAAAGGATCCTTAGTATATGTAAAAATTTTCACTGTTTGGAGCTTCATTGTGTAGGGGAAAGAATACTGGTCTGAAGGCAAGGAATTTGGGCTTTACTCCTAATTCAGCCAGTGGACCAGTGGGAAGAACTTGGGTTTCCTCACTTGCTCTAAGCCTTGTTTTCCTAAATAGTCAAATGGAAATTTTGAACTGGAAGAATTAACTCTGAAGTTCCTTTTATACTTACAAGGGGCTTAGTTGATTTTTTCCCAGAGACAATGGAAAGGATTCCAGTAATGGCAAACTGCTCAGAAAAGAGAGAAATAATCAGTTCAGTTGTTTTGTGGAAATATATCAATCACTCAATCAATAAGTAATCTAAAACTTTCAGGGATGCCAGAAACCGAACATTGTCACTAATAGAGAAACGTGAAAAGGGAATCTGGAAGGCTGGTCAACTTTAATTGTTCTGAATGGTCGGAGCTATTCACTCATTGTTTAGTTGAGACTTTGGTAGTTAAAGCAACCTCCACCTGTTAATCATATGTAAATTCTTGCTGATTGTCTATTATTGGAATTTCCTGCCTAAAGGATATAGGTGTTTCCCATAGCCTTAATAAAAGGGATAGCAAGGCCAGAGCAGTGGTAGTCCTCCCACTAGAGGTAGACTCTCGCCTGGTCCCCCATTTTCCCAAATTAACTATTTTCCAGTCTCTTTTCATTTGTGTGCAGCCTTCTCCAGACACAGAACCCTGAAGATGAACCCTAAACCATGTGGGATGTGATAAGGGAGATGACACTATAGGAATGGTATAGGTCCATATTGATAGAGAGGTCTGATTTCTGCCCTCGGGATGTTTACCATTGACTTTGAAGAATCAACAGATGTGCAAGAACTGGAGTCATGTTAGTGAAAATTCAGTATGAGCTAAGGAATCCTGGAGGTGTGCATGGAGAGGGGAGAGTTATAAATTTTAAGGTTGACTACTAACCCAGGCCTAGAGTCTGATCTAGAAATCTCCATACAGCAGAGGTCTAGAGACATCTAGTTGTTGCAACAGGCCAGACTCTTCTAGAAGCTGTATCTGCAAAGCACTTGATATGAGATGGAAGCATCAGGAAACTCCCCACTTAGAATCAACTGTTTTTAATAGGTTGAGGGGGTGTTCTTAATTATTTATATTTATTGTTTGAACCCCATTTTTTAATCACAAAATCTGATTGTAAATGCAGTTTATGTGTATGGATTTTCTTCCTTGGATTTAATTGTAAATAGAGTTTTGTTTTATGTGGGAGTTTCTCTTCACTAACAATCATCTTGTTAGCCTTTCCACACTAAATCATTATTCCTTTAAAGCCTTAATTGTAGTGGCTGCAAGGTATTTAATCATATGGCTGATGTATAATTTATTCAGCGCAACTTTTATTGTTGGACATTCCATTATTTGTAATGTTTCACTATCTAAAATAATTCCATAATAAATCTCATTGTACATTAAAAAATTACATGGTTGAAAGAAAGGAGATTGAGAATGACCAATAATTTGAAGGGAGAGAAGATGGGAGCAGCCAACAGAAGCACTTGTTGGTTCAAGATGCAGAAGCACATGAGCTTTAAGCCATTGGTGTAGGTGGCCTGAGTTAAACTGGAAGCCAACGAAAATGGGTCGGACTCTTCATGAAGAGTCTCTCATCATGAAGCCCCAGAAGTCAATATTTGATTCCAGTGGTGTTAAGGACCCAATTGATGGAAAAGGGTATTCTGAGAAGCTAAAATATTTGTTAAGCTGTGGTTTAGAGATTTGGTTGTCACAAAGAGGATCCAGAATGAATTAATTCTATGTGGAAGCCACAACTACTGGTTAGATAGAAAAGTCAAGGTCAAATTATGCTTTTGGAACAGGAGCATGTCCTTTTTACATCACTGCATGATTTGTGTCCACACAAGACTGTATTCATAGAAGAGTGATGCCTTGTTAAAATTCATTTGCCCAGAATATGTACTTTTTTCTACTCTGTACAGGATACTACATAGAAAAGAAGTGTGTGTGTGGGGGGGGGGGGGGTATGACTAGTGTCCAAAAGAAGGTCCTTTCTTCATGAGTCATTAGATGGGAGGCAGCAACCAAGGTTTCCAAGTGTTCAGGATTGCCTTTGAACTTATAGCTAGAGTACCCTGCCTTGCGTGAATTTTACCATTGCTAGTTTACTTCTCTGTAAACCTGTGGCATCTAGCAGCGATGGTCATTTTATTATAAAAATGACCTTTCGCTCTGTCTGACAAGTGGACTATTCTTAAACTGAAGGTAATACAAATGCTTCATTGAAGGCCCAAAGAAGGATGCAAAAAATGTTCCTTTTCCAGAGGCATACTGTAAAGCCAGGTTAGAAATGCTGGTATGTCCACTGCATTATCTTCCTGCCATCCGTCTCACCCATTCACTCCCTGAGATTCTTACTGATTAAGCCTCTCTCTGCTCTTCCTAAATTGCAGAGACATGATGTGAGATGATAACAAAAGGAAAATTGGAGGTCTTAGCCTTTTCCTTCTCTCTCCCCACTTCTCAGAACTGAGTTACTCCAAGGCTTACCAGTTAGCATTTATTAAGCATATCCCCTCTTGGATACACCCTTCTTTCTACTCACGCACAGAGCTCCTACAAATGGATACCCAGACATCAAGATGATGGAAACTGCTGGCTTGAGGTGGGAAGAGTAGGGAGAAGAAACCAAAATAGCCCCAAAACTTGAAATCATCAGGCAACACAGGATATGAATACACTATAAGAGACAAGAGGGAAAATACTAGACTATACTTTAAATAGATCTAAGTGGCATTTGAATGTACATTGTGAATTATAAAGAATATTAACATGTTACAATGTGTCATATTAAAAAGGGAAAATGTAAAAAGAAAGAGAAAAAGAAAAAAATATGCTAGAAGAAGCTAATAAGCATTCTCTAAGAGAAATTCATATGTTACTAACATTTTTTGTTTTCTGATAGGATAATTAAACCAGCAAATTAGGGAATAATTATATGCACATTTTTTAACTTTATTTTGAAAATTTGACAAATTTTTATGGTTCTAGGAAAAGTAGATTAAGAAAATTTTTTTCTGGACAGCAGTCCAGTTACATGAATATAGAAAGAAAACTTACCAAGGGAGTGCTAATAAAGGGGTCAATTTCAATGGAATTAAAATAGAACAGGAATTTTTTTAGTGCTATTATTCACCTTATCTTATTCATCATTGGATTTTAATAATCATCGCTATTTTTAGGAAACCCAGGATGATAATAATGGGTTTGCTGAACACTCTCTACATGGCTATTACAGATAAGAAAAAAGGAGATATCAGGAGTTAAAATAGCCAAAAATAGTTTGGCTCAGTGGATAGAGTGTTGGCCTGCAGACTGAAAGGTCCCAGGTTCGATCCTGGTCAAGGGCATGTACCTTGGTTGCAGGCACATCCTCAGTAGGGGATGTGCAAGAGGCAGCTGATTGATGTTTCTAACTCTCTATCCCTCTCTCTTCCTCTCTGTAAAAAATTAATTTTATATATATATATATATATATATATATATATATATATATATTTTTTTTTTTTTTTTTAAGAAGTTAAAATAACTTGTACAAACCAACACAAATGGCCAAGACTTGAGGGTGAGGTATCATTTTTCTGCCATGGACCATTTAGATATTTATAACATCATTCTAGGGCCATACAAAATTATCAACTTAAAAATTAGCCTGCTATATTTGGCCAAACATCTAATTAAGTCACCCCTGATGCCTTGGCAGGGCCAGGCCAAATGATTTCGAGATAGCAAGAAGTAGTTGGATTCTAAATGTACTGTGAAGATTAAACCTGTAGGATTTGCTGAAAGTTTGAATGTGGATTATGAAAGCAAAGAATGAGCCCTGCTAGTATGGCTCAGTGGTTGAGCATTGACCTATGAGCCAGGAGGCCAAGGTTCAATTCCCTGTCATGCATGGTTTTCAGGCTTGATCCCCAGTAGGGGGCATGCAGGAGGCAGCCAATTAATGATTCTCTCTCATTGTTGATGTTTCTATCTCTCCTTCTTCCTTCCTCCCTAAAATCAATTTAAAAAAAAAAATTTAAGAAAGGAATAAAGTTGCCTCCAAATGTTTTGGCTTAAGTTTCTGAAATGATGGCATCAACATAAATCTGAGATAGAAAATATTGTATGAGGTGTGGGTTTGGGGAGGAATATCAGGATTTCAGTCTTATACAGGATAAAGGAGAGATGTTTAGTGGATATCCAAGTGAAGATATACCTAAGCATTTGTATGTATGAGTCTTAAGTTTATAACAGAGGTCCAGGCAAAGGATATAATTTTATTTCCCCAAGTCATATTAGAGATAATATTTAAAGTCATGTTACTGGATGTGGTTGCCATTGCAGCAGATACAGAAAATGAATAGAAACAAGGACTGAGCTTTAAAGCACTCCAAATTTAGGATCAGGGAAATTCACAAAAATTATAAAAGAAAACAGCCAGGGAGGAAAGAGAAGAAAACAGAAGAATGTGATGTCTAAGAAGCCTTAAGTGAATGAAATGTTTCAAGTAGAAGAGTGGTCAACTATATCAAGAACACTTTCATTAACTCAATAGAGTTAACAACAGAGATTTGAAAATTGGGTTAGTAATGTGTAGCAAAGGAGGCAAATACCATTGAATATGATTCAAGAGTAATTGGAGAGCCCTAGCCAGCTTAGTTCAATGGATAGAGTGTTGACCGGAGGACTGAAGGATCCTGGGTTCAATTCCAGCAAGGGCACATGCCTGGTTGTGGACTCAATTCCCAGTAGGGGGCATGCAGGAGGCAGCCGATCAATGATTCTTTCTCATCATTAATGTTTCTATCTCTCTCCTTCTCTGAAATCAATAAAATTTTAAAAAAAGAGTAATTGGAGACATTGACTTCCTACCTTTTAGAGGACAGTTACTGGGAAGGCAAATAATGAATGGGGCATTAGCTAGAGAACATAAACTTAAAAGTATTAGATTTTGTTTTTTTGTTTTCAAGATGGGAAAAATCAGAGTAAGATTCTATGCTTATGAACTTGATTAAAAATTTTGCAGGGAGAATTACTGAAACAAATATTAAGGGATGAAATTTACTGCACAAAGGGAGGATTGTCATTAATCATATTGACATTTTATTATTTTTTAAAATATATTTGTATTGATTTCAGAGAGTAATGGAGAGAGAGAAAGATAGAAACATCAATAAAGAGAGAGAATCATTAATTGGCTGTGTCCTGCATGTGCCCTACTGGGGATCACGTGTCCTGACAAGAAATTGAACCATGACCTTCTGGTTCATAGGTTGATGTTCAACCACAGAGCCACACTGGCTAGACAAATATTTTATTCTTAGAAACTGGAGTGAGGAGAAAGAATGTATGGACATAGACATGGGTAATTATAGATGAATCACAGTTTATGGACATTTCTATCCAAATTGCTTCAATATTTTAGTCTTATAGAAAACAAAGTAATAGATGGAGATGGAAGAAACTTATGAGATTTGAAGGAGGAAATGTATAAAATAGTTTTCTGGGATAATAAGAAAGTGAATGGATGAAAGAAATAGGTACTTTTAGGCAGATTTTTTAGTCCATTTGAGGTTATAGTCATAAACTAGAAGGGGTGTGTGTGTGTGTGTGTGTGTGTGTGTGGGTGGGTGGGTGTGTGTGTGTAATTAAGGTTAGTAAATTCAGAAAAATGGGCAGAGTTATAATTAAACCAATGTCATCTCAGAGGACAGGTGGGGGAGGATAGGGGGGGGAGAAGTTATCAACCAAAGACCTTAAATGCATGTATGCATAACCCATGGACACAGACAATAGGGTGCTTAAGTGAGATTCTAAAGTAGGAGTATAGATGAGAAGGAAAGATTGATCTGGAAGCATCCAAGAGAAGCTAAGAAGACATTGCATTCACTTCCATGCCTGGTAGTAAGGGTTGGAGTAAAACAGTTCCCTCAGGGCTATACTTCTGTTTGCACATAGATGAAGAGGCAGGCCTTTGAGTTGGGGAGGGAGGGGGAGAGGAGGAGAAATACAACTGGGGGAATAAAGAGGACTATGCAATTAACTGACCCTGAATTCCAGAGGCCACAACTGGGCAGGTCTCCAATGGTGGAATTTGTAGGAATTGGGACTTAAAAGGGGATATTTAGAACCGTGTGGGAATTAAAGTCCTGAATCTGAAGGATGAGAATCTAAGATGCTGGGGTGTCTTATAGTTACTCAGATAAACAGGGAGAAAATGTATAGTTGAGATTAGTTCAGATCATCTCACGTTAAAATGTGTAAGAAATGAGCTCAAACTAAGATGACCTAATCTAATCATATTGAGTAAAATATGCAGTTAAATCAATATCTCCACTATATTTAGGCAAATTTATAAGAGACTTCATTGTGTAGATTACAAGTAGAAAAGACCGAGTGGTTTTTGTTGATTTAAAGAAAGGTCTGGGGAGGATACAGTCTTCCCATAAAGTCCCATTCCATGGCCCAATTAGCCTGGAATCACACAGAAAAATAAACGACTCTTTCAGATCCATTGTAGATCTGTAGTCGGGAAACATTCACAATATTTCCCTAGTGTTCTCTTTATAATGAAGTGGACTTACTCCAACAACTGTGGTTTCTTTTTGAAGATCATTCTGCAGTGTATCTTCTTTTTGGTAAATGTATCCAGGTTTCTCTCTTTGGGGGATAATGATGACCTTCAAAGTGGAATCAAAGGCTTCCTCGGTCTTGGACTGTGACAGCATGATGTTAAATATCCTGGAAGAGGCAATGAGCTCAGTTAGGACCCTAGGTTTGAGTTAATGATATGAAAGTCCCACAGATCAGACTTTGTAGGAATTTAAAATGTTTCTTCATTGTCCAAGAGATGATCTGTCCTTCAGGAGCATAACTGAATATGGGAAGCAAGGGAAGCATTGAAAAGCTAAGCCTGCTTGATACATCCATCCATTGAGGATGTCCCTGGGAGAAAACTGTAAACACTTGGAGGTCTCCCCCAACGGAGAGGCGGACAATTTGTATACAACTTGCTTTGCATCCTTGGGTGTATCCATTTCGTTCTTTCTGACCTTAGGGAATTTGAATTGATGGTCTCTAGTTCCAGAATTGTTCCCATATTCTGGCAACTTGGCTTCTTCCTAGCTTTTGTGGCTTAATAGACCAAATATGCATATCTATTTTTCTAATCTTAAAAACCAATCTTTCAAGCTGCATCCATATTGTCATGTATTGCAAGATTTCCTTCTTATTTTAAAGCTGACCTTGAGGACTTTGTGCTAAGTATAAGTCAGTCACGGGAGGACATGATTTAACTTCTATAAGGTATGGTAAATAGTCAAACTCATAGAAGAGAAGACTAGAATGGTGCTTGCCAGGATCTGCCGGAGGAGGAAATGGGGAGCTGCTGTACAACATGTATAAAGTTTCAAATGTGCAAGATCAATTCTAGAGGTCTGCTGCACAACACTGTGCTTATAGATATAGCAATGCTACATGGTGCATTTAAAAAGCTGTCAAGAGAATAAGTCTTATGTTAAGTATTTTACTGCAATAAAAAAAGAGAAAATCAGCCGAGACCGGTTTGGCTCAATGGAAAGAGCGTCGGCTTGGGGACTGAAGGGACCCGGGTTCGATTCCGGTCAAGGGCATGTACCTTAGTTGCGGGCATATCCCCGGTAGGGGGTGTGCAAGAGGCAGCTGATCGATGACTCTCTCTCATCGATGTTTCTAACTCTCTATCTCTCTCACTTCCACTCTGTACAAAATCAATAAAATATATTTAAAAAAAAAAAAAAAAAAAAAGAGAAAATCAGAAAAAAAAGAAATTGAAGATTTACCCCAACTTAAGGATTTTTTTTTTAAGTCTCTATACTTCTGAATTCCTCTCTGCAGATTTCAGTTCTCATGCCTAAAGACTACAAATGTGCTGATTCTGAGCCTGAAGCTAGAACCTGGGGCCTAGTTGGAAGCCTCTAGCTTACTGCACTCTCAGATATCATGTAAATTCATTTTCTTTTATTATATTTTAACTGTTTTGTTTTAAATAGTGTATATCATAGCAAATGCAATCAAAAGAGGAATAAGGTTTGAAGAAGAAAACAAAAAAATTCCTTAAATGTTAACTATCACCTACTGACTAGTATTTTATAGATATCCTTTATATTTTCTTTTTCTCCTTTCTCATTTTGCCTCCTCTTTCTTTATTTATGTTTATACACATTCATAATTCTACAAAAACAGAATTATTCTAACCATTACACTCAACATTATTGTGAGGACATCATTAACATTAATACATATAGATATTACCCATCCTAAATTTAAAAGCCAAGTGGCAAATTCTTTGAATACAATATGCTAATTGAAATATTAGAAAGCCAATAATAGAAGGACAAATATTGTATGATTATATTTCTGTGAGGCACCTACAGTACTTAAATTCATAGAGACATATAAAACTGAAAGCAACAAGTGAACAAACAATGAAAAAAACCTCATTGACACAGACAAAAGAATGGAGTGATCAGAGGAAGGAGGGTGGAAGGGTAGTAAAGGGTAAAGGGGTCAAATATATGGTGACAGAAGATTTGACTTTGTGTGGTGGGCACACAATGCAATATACAGACAATGTATCATAGAATTGTATACTTGAAACCTATAAAATTTTATTAATCAATGTCGCCCCAATAAATTTAATTTTTTAAAAACATAAAATGATGGCTCCAGGGGCTGGGAAGAGAGAACAACATGGTTTTACTATTTAATGGGCATGGAATTTTGGTTTGGAAAGATGAAAAAATTGTGGAGTTTAGTCTTGGGAATGGTTTCACAAGGAATCTCCATATTGTGCCATCATCTCCAAACTCTACGGTCTGTGAAGGATCCTTTGTCTTCCTACATTCACCACATGGATACAAACTTGAGGTAGCCCCCAACTTTCTAAGACAGTTCTAAAAATCCTTGCTTTGAAGGCAAATAAATCATAGCTTGGAGAAAACTTCTCTGCATACAGCAATTTTCTCTAGTACAAAATTAAAATGGAACAATGGGGACATATTGCAGGATTCAATCTAACCACACAGTATTTGTTGAGAGTGTAAAATGCAGAGAATTGTAGAAAATCACAACTTCAGAGTGTGAAGGAAGCTTAAGGATGGTTTCACCCAGTTCTCTTATTTGGAAAGAGAGTAAATTGAGACCCCAGAGCGGGGAAATCAACTCACCAATTCATGCAGGTGGTCAGCAGCAGAGTCAAGGTGAGAATCTAATTCCTGGCTCTCTGTTTAAAAAACAACAACACAATAATCACCCCCAAAATTTATGATCCAAACCAAGGTGCCTCCCTGTTCCTGCAGCCCAGCCCTGTGTGTTGTGGTTGGTGGGCCAGGTCACTTCTGGGGAACTCTCAGCCAGAACTTCCTACTGGCTGTTCCTGCCACAAAGATTTTGCTGCATTGCTCTCCACCCTCTGAGACTTCCTATCTCTCATCCAGAGTAAGGTTTATGATTACACAAGATATGAGTCTTGTTGTACTTATGCACAGTTTCTACATTTTAAAAAAGTACATCAGTTTCCTCTTTCTAAATGTCAAGGTCTGGAAAACAACCAAATTAGAAGTAACAAACAAAAAAGAGCTTGTGAGGATGAGTGAGTTGCATGGCCTCATTTAAAATTTGTTTTCCTGCATGCCTATAGGTAATTCAATTAGTTCCTTTTGGCCTGAATTTTCTTACCTACTAGATAGGAATGGATAATGGCTGTTGGGAAAAATTAAGAGAAAGGATGTTAACAGCTTATGAAAACTAGGCACTCGATAATTAGTGAGAACGGTAATGTTAATTTAAATTTGGGAGAATTTATTTTTCCATTTTCTAAGTCTTGGCAAATTGAAAGCAACCCGTGGGGACTCATTTCCTAGTTGGTACTTCTTATACGTGCCTCTTTATTCTCAGCCTCCGGCTTCATCTCTTCCTAACTTCGTGCTTAGCAAAGACAAGGCACATCTTTGGAAAGATGTTAGTGGATTGGAATCAGAGGCAGAGCCATCAGGGCAGCAAACAAGCTCATATTCTGGAGAGTGCAGATTTTTGTTGAGGGAACATTGTTTCTATTTTCACATTCCTTTTAAGGAGGCCAGGAGAATAGCCTTTGCTCAGAAAGAGGGGCATAGCTAAGGTGGTAGTAGCAACAGCTAGCAGCATGTCATGCTCCAAGCTTCTCAACTTCCTGATGGCTGGAAAGACTTGCCCCAAGAGAGGAGAAAATCTAAGATAGTGGGGTTTAATAAACTTATAAATGCTTGGAGAAAATTTTAATCTCATCTCTTTAGTCTCCAGACTAGATATTGCTGAACAAACCACAGATCATGGGTCAAGTCAGGGGGAAAAGGAGGATGAGGATCCAAGTCTCTTGGTAGCTGAGCTCAGGCTTACACCTCAGCAACAGTCTATCATTTTGTCATCTCCATCCCCATGACGAATGTCATCTTAATTTAAGAACACCAGGAGAAACCAAGATGGCGGCATAAGTAAATACCTGAAATTTCTGCCTCACACAACAACTTCAAAACTACAATTAAAAGACAAAATGAATATCCAGAACCACAGGAAGGCTGGCTAAGTGGAAATTCTACAACTAGAAGGGAAGAGAAAGGCACACTGAGTCACCCCAATAAAATTTAATTTAAAAACAAATAAGGGGAAAAGAATATATGCAGCCCTTATGTTCATTGCAGCATTATTTTTCAATAGCCAATATATGCAAGCAACCCAAGTACCCATCAATAGATGAGTGAATTAAAAAGTTGTGGTACATAGATATAATTGAATATTACTTGATCATGCTGTCCTTTATGTGAAAGTGTTTTACTGTTGGTGGTCTGTGAGTAAGAACCAAGAAGATTATACTCAACACAGCTGGTGGGAATACAAACTGGGCAGCCATTATGGAAAACAGTATTCCTCAAAAAATTAAAAATGAAACTCCCATTTGACCCAGTGATCCCACTTCTATGAATATATCCTATAAAACCCGAAACATTCATCAGAAAGAATATATGCATTTCTATGTTCATAGCAGCACAATTTATAATAGCTAAGATTTAGAATCAGCCTAAGTGCCCATCAGCAGATGAGTGGATAAAAAACTGTGGTACGTTTACACAATGGAATACTACACTGAGTGGCCAGATTATTATGATCTCTGAATGCATAACAATCTGGCCACTCAGTGTATACCCTATATAATAAAAGGCTAATATACAAATTGTCCCCTCAACCGGGAGTTTGACCAGCAGGCAGGCCAGCCAATTGCCCATGTCCCCTGCCCTGACCAGGCTGGCCAGACCCCACCCATGCACAATTTATGCACCAGACCTCATACACACACACACACACACACACACACACACACACACACACACACACATATATACTGAGTGGCCAGATTATTATGGGTTCAGAGATCATAATAATCTGGCCACTCATTGTATGTGACTGTGAAAAAGAAAGAACTCTTACCATTTGCAACAGCTTGGATGGGCCTGGAGAGTATCATGCTGAGCGAAGTAAGCCAGTCAGAGAAAGGTAAATATCATATAATCTCACTCATATGTGAAATCTGATGAACAAAATAAACTGATGAAAAAAATAATAATCCAGAGACTTAGAAGTGTGGAACAGACTGTTGAACCTCAGAGGAAAGGTAAAAAAGTGTGGGTGGGAAGAGATCAACTAATGAACTTGTATGCATATATGCATAACCCATGGGCACAGACAATGGGGTGGAGAGGACCTGAGTAGGGGATGGGGGATGGGGGCATGATGGAAGAGATGGGGGAGAAGGAGAGAGGATTTATGTAACAAAGATTCTAAGGCATCTATGCATGTAATTGAGGAGATATAATTTACTTATTAATAGAACACCTTCTTCTGAAAAGTTAGCAATTAACACATTTGGACCTCATTCTACAGTTATAAAAATAAAAATTTTCCCTAAAAACTTGAATATAATTTCTATGAGATGAGGCAAAAACTTTGCCACCTAGGTACCAATTCTATCCTCTGTAGTCTTAATCTTCTTGAAAAAAATATTAATTTTAACATAGTATATATATTGAAATACAGTAATATTTAATATTTAATGTTGTTAGATGGCAATATTACTTAAAATATTGCTTTTTACTTTTTTAAATATGAGACATTTTATCAGACATCTGACAATTTTTTTCTCTATTAATTTCACCCTCTAATTGGAATGCTAATGAGGAACAAAAACTGTTGAATATAAGCACAAAAATGGAAATGTAGGGAATTTTTATCATTCTACCTATAAATTTTAAATAAATTAAAATGCTCATGTTAACAAAGATTTTTCATTAATTTCTTCTGTTTAATATTGACACACTCTAATATTAGTCCACTATTCACATAGTGTGTAGTACTTGTTTGGATGTGAGTTCATTTTTATTAAGGTGTTAGTTATTACAATCTAACACTTACATTTACATAGCATTAAATGTTTAGTGTTAGAGATGACCACTTATCTGATTTAGAAGACATGTAAGGAATTTTAGGAAGCCTCAATTAATTTGCTTTCTAAACCTTTGTAATATAATCATTGAATTTCCCAAACACAAAAACATTGACAGGCCCCTGTGCTGCTTTATTCTGAGATAAATTTGGGGAGAAGACAAACAACTGTCTTTGCAATTGAATTTGACTAAGCTATCTGTTCTAAGAATTTGCCATAATTAGGACAGTCAAGTAAATCTTGCACATTGTTTTTCTAAACCAAATACTGTTAACACTGTTATAAATTTCTGTTGTTAGTATCTGTTAAAAAGTAGCTTCATACAAAAGGACTTCTTAAAACGGGCCTGATAACAATGTACATCTGTTTCTTATCTTCGCTAGGTCATTGTCAACTTCCCTTAACTGAAACGACCTTGTTCCTTTTAGTACACTTTGTTTTTTCTTTTTTCCTCTGAGAGTCCTCTGTACCTATTATTCTAAATTTTTACAAACTTTTAGAAATCAATAGGGCTTCATTAAATTCGGGAGAATTTTTAATGAAGCTAATTTCTCTCTTTAAGTAGATAAAAATGCCTTTTCTCTCTTTTAACATTGTTTATTCCACCAGGGATCGTTCTTTTTCTTTTTCCTTTTCTTTTTTATGTTGTTTTAATGTAACTTTTTGTAACTTATTGATTGGTTGGCCATAAGAAATAATACTGGCCTTGGAATTAAGCCACCTAGATTTTGCCTCATCCTTTTTTTTTTTTTTTCTCAAATGCAGGTACAATAATGATATTTGTTACCCCCTACATAGTTTTCAAAGGCCTTAAATTCACAAATATAAAATCCCACTTGCATTGTGATGTACTATTTATATTTAAATGCAAGAGTATCAACAGCTAAGGGAGCCAGAATTTTGTCTTTATTTAAGGAATACTAGAGCAGATTAGATCATTCTTATACCACTAAGTAAAAAGACATTAATACATTAGAAAGACATTAATTAATTATAGGTTTTAGTTCTCCACAACTCTGCTCACTATCCACAGCACAGGAGAGCATCTCTTACTCACATATCTTCACAGGAGGCAAGAGATCATTCTGTTGACATGAAGTGGCTTCTCCCTTCATGTGTCATTATGAACAGAAAGTTCTGGAAATGTGCACATCTGATAAAGTTAAATGTCTGATTATTCTACATTTTCCTATGTGTGCAATGAAAAAATGGGAAGTTAATGGCTAAGAAATCTACCTGAGTAGTGTCACTGCTATAGACAGGAGTACCAAAACACATAAGAAATGCAGACACAGGCATACATACAAACAATCCCCTCACTAAAAAATGCAACACAAATAATTCTGCTGCCAAAATTTTCATATGATTATTCACACAGCTGTAATTGTACAAGCTAGGAATTGAATCCTATTTTGCCTATTCCAAGCCCATTGTGTTTTTCATACATGAAACTTTCACAGACACAAATTGAGGTGTCCTGGTCCTAGCACAGGCAATTTGCTAGATAAATCTGTGGCCTCCTCAACAATTACATTTGAAGATAATTAATGGCTTACATTCATGATCTACTTATGTCCAGAGTCACTTTGAGATGTTTTAATGCAGTTAAAGGTAAAAGTATTTATGAGACCCTGAAAATCCAAATTGATATAATAATGGGCTAATGATAATTGGTATAATAATTGGCTGGTATAAAAACA